GGGTGGACATACACAGAAGTACAGATGCATGTACATACACACAGTAGTAGACTGGGATAGCGGGGTTTTGTAATTATTTTCACAGGTTAAACTGACGATACAAATCTTAGATGCCCCACAACATTGAAGTACGTTATACTTTTGAAAAAAAGCGCATTCAATTATAATTCCTTCTCTGTTTCCACTCCAAACGCTTGGAATTATTAATAATATTTTAAATAGTGGCCCCATGTTTAATGAATGAGTGTAGTGAAATCTTAACTTTGGAGCTTTCGTGACTGCAGGAATTATTCTTTGGTTCTTTCGGTAAAGTCACGTATAAAGAAAAAATAATAAATTAATTAATAGCATACGACGTTTCGATTGCAGCACAAGCAATCATCATCAGGTATAATGAAATAGCGACATAAAATTTAACCAGCAAAAAATTATAGACAGACATATAAGCAGACAGATGTCACCAAGATACACAGAGCGGGCAACACAGGTACAGAGAGGGGTGATCGTCTCTGTGGGGTGGCCTTAAATGGTGAAGGCATTACTTTACTGTAGTGAAGGCATTACTTTAGTTCATTTAATTCCGTTTGTTTGCATTTGCTCCGGCACATATGTAGTGGCGGTGCGCGCTGACAAGGTGGGGGGCGTGTGTGTGCGCGCGCCGGGCGTGGCTACATCGAGTGTGGGGGTGTTGACGCACACCGACAGTGATGGATCACGGGGCGGCGCTGGGTGCGTGCTTGTGCACGCAGACACGATATGGGAAACAGGATCGTGGGCAGCGCGCTGAGTGATTGGTCAACTTGGGTGGGTGCTCTCAGCGACGTCCGCATGGAGGACTATAAAGGGGGACGCGCGAGAACACTCGGGGAGTTATTACCAGCTGAAGATCGAAGACGGAGTTGAAGAGATAGGGCCCTGAGACCCCTAGCCCCGCTGTCCTTGTAAGGGCCGGGACCCTGTGCGGCTCAGAGGCGAGGCTGTGGGACCTGGGGCCTGGTGTCCATGTGGAACCAGGTTGTGGGACCCAGAGTCGAGACTAATAACCCAGCCGGGTGTGTTCCAAGAAGCTACGGGGCGTGAGAGCCCGTGTGGGTATAGCTCAGGGGAACCTCGTGGGTTATGTGGCAGTTGCCACCCGTGTAACAGTTTGGTGTTAATAAAAAGGTGTGCTACCCGTCAAAGTCGTCTCCCGCCAAGTGACTACTTTACATAGGCGCCGAAAATCTACACAGAATCGAAGACTGCCATCGTGCTTTTTGACCAGCACTATCGGGGCACTCCAGGGGCTGTTGGAAGGAGAAATGATATCAGCCGCCAGCATGTCGTCAACTGCCCATTTAACATGCTGTTTCTCCGCAGGGCTGAGCCGAAACGGGTTTTGGCGGATTGGGGCAGCGTCACCAGTGTCAATGTGGTGACGCAGCAGCTTGGTGCAGCCAATATCAAATTGTGATTTGCTGAACACATCCGAGAATTCCCGCAAAAGAGCCCGCAATTTACTCTGCTGTGACCCGGATAAATCGCCGGCATCCGCGCAGAGAGCGTCAATCCATCCCTCATCAACGTTGAGGGCGAGGCTGCTGACTGTTCGCTACGTGTCCGACAACCCCGGTCCCCAGGGGCGCCACTGTCGCATGAGCGAGCACTGTCCCCTGTGGAATGACGGTGTCTGACAGACCGACATTCAAAACTTGTATAAATGGCTCCCTGTCGCCCGCTACAAGAGTCTGTGCGGCCACCAACGAAAGGCTGTTAACTGCTGTGTTGGAAGATCCCAATAAAATGCCATTTACCGAGGCGGTGGGAGCGAGCGGTTTCTTTAACCGTAAGGGTACGAGCATTTGTGCCCCTGGCGGAATGCGTACATGGCAAGCCGCAAAAGCCTGTACGGAACCATTTTCCGTCCGTGAATGCGTGGCCGTGGGTAAAAATGCCATCCGGCGGCCCGAGGGAAGTTCAATACATCCCTGATCGATAAGGATTTTAATGGGCATTTTGGCAAGAAAATCAGTTCCCAGAAGGCACGGCACCGCAAGGGAAGAAGACACAAAAACAGGGCCGGCCAATTTAATATCTCCAATGGCAATTTGCGCCCGAATTTGGCCGAGAATCCCCAGGGAACTTCCATTTGCAGCGAAAAAACGGAACGGAAACCTTTTCCAAAGATCGACATCGCACGGGCAGTATATTGTAAATCAACTCAGAGATGATAGTGGCTGATGCACCGGTATCGACAAGCACGCGCACCTCTACCCCCTCGATCGAACCAACGACCACCGAGGAACCCGCCGTCGCTGCAACCACTCTATGGGCCAGCTCTGACCACTGCCCGGGTCGCAGTGGTCGCGAAAAGTCGGCCAAACGCCGCGCATCATACGCCGTGTTCCGAGCGAAGTCAATGGTGTGTTGTGGTGTGTATGAGGACCGAGCGTGTGGGGTGCCGCGACTTGCCTGGTCATGCTGCGCTGCTCTGGAAGCTCTGTAGTCCCGGTCTCGGGATCCGGCGGAGCGGCGGCGAGGTGCACGGCAGTCGGGAGAGAAGTGGCCTCGGCGGCCACAGTTGAAACACGTCGCGTCGCTGCGGGGGAAGGGCCGTCCCCGCTCCCAGTCGTTGCGGCGACTGGTGCGATCTGGTGATCGCTGGGGCGTCGCGCTGAACGTCGAGAAGACTCGATCAGGAGAGCGAGCGTTGTCCCTGCTGGCAGGCACCGATGTCGTAGCCGAAGCGGTGATGGTCTCGTCCTGGTCCAGCATTAAGTGAGCATGAATGCTCCGGGCAGCTCACAGTGAGCACATGTCCTCGTCATCCACGGCCTGGATGACAAGGCGCAGCCTCCTCGCCATCTCCAGCAGCTTCTGAAGGACGAGTGCGTCGATAGCCTCATCGTCCATGCGGGGGTAAGCCGCTCTTGCCATGGCGAGTAGCGCGGTGCGGAACGCCAATGGCGACTCCCTTGGCTTGCACCGTCTCTCGTAGAACTGGTGGCGTGTGGTGGAAGGAGGTCCGTAGACATCAGACAGCCGCTGAAGTGCTGCTTGTAGTGTCGCCCTTTGTCGCTTGGGAATGGAGATGAGTGCAGCGAGAGAGTCATCGTCCAAGGTGGCTGGCAATGCACGAAGTGCTTGTGCATCCGACCAGCCCACCATCTCCTGGTGGCTGAGGAAGCGACGTTGAAATGCTGCCCAGTCGCCCCCTGTGGACGAGAATTCGCGAAAGACAGGCAGTCGCTGCTGTAGAGCAGCTGTGTCGTCGTCTTCGTCAAGCTCGGACTCGGTCCCGAACGCAGCGATGGCTTGGTCGGCAACATGTACTGTACGGCGTTGCAGCCATGATGACGCGGTGTTGCTGGAGGGTCCAGCAGAGGCAGCGTCGCTCTCTGATGATGCAGTGTGTCGTGATTGGCCCCCGGAGGTACCAGCATGCACTTGGCTTCCGCCCCCACGTGACCCATCGGCGGGAAGGACGTTCTCTTCCGGGTTTGCGATGGCGGGGACATTCGCTGTCGACCGATCCTCTCCGCCCGCAGCCCCCAGGTTAAGTTGCTCCAGGATGGCTGCTGCAGCATGCAGCAGCTGGGCGAGGCGTGCGTGAGCAGCCTGGGTGCCGTCGCTCGCGGCGATCGGCTGCACAGCTGGTGGTGGGGCGGCTGGCAACACGCCAACATCTTCAGCGCCGCCCGCAGCACCCACAGGTGAGTCAGAGCTTGCATCATCGGGACTTTGCGTGCGGTTCATTCGTCTTGTTTCCATCTTCTGACGCCAATGTAGTGTTGTACAGACGGACTCTTCAACGTCTTTTGTAGCACACACTTTTATTCGTCTTATTAACACAGTCCCTATGCACTCAGAACGTACAAGCCCCCGTACCCTACAGGCTACTTAATATCCCGCTCTTTCAGTGTCCTCTGACTGGACCTAGGGAGATGTCTCCCCGACCATTGGTTACTCTGAACCCTAGCCCTTATAAGGGCTGGAGGGCTTGGTCCAGGGTCCTAGGCTTCTTCCGCCGTCTTGGGTCTTCGTGTAGTCGAACTCCCCGGGAGCTCTGAGCGCTCTGGCTTTATACTTGTTCGTGGCCGGGTTGTCCAATCCCCGGCCACCTTGTGGAACCCTGTGATTGGTCGTTCCCAATCTGCTTTTCGATCCCAATTCACCCTATCTGACCCTGACCGTTTGGTCGCGCGGGAAAACCTTGTTTACGGTCAGCTCTCACAGCTTGTGAGACCCTGACCGTTAGTTTGAGCGGGAAAACCTTGTTAACGATTTGCTCTCCCAGTTTGTGAACATCGAGTGGGTAACTCTACCACACAAGTACTATAATGGTAAAATTCATTTTAGAAGATGTACATAAAAAATAAAGGATCAATGTGGGTTTGACCTTTTCATCCCATTAGTAAACATAGGATGGGATACCATCAATTATGTAGAAATGTTTATTTAAATATTTTGGGCACTGTAAATTTGTCATTGGGAAATCAACACAGATTATTGCAAACATGCACATGCATGCGCACATGCATAAATATGAAATAGGTAGAAAACATGCATAACAATGAGCCGCACAGCGGAGTGGTGAACCTACGTGCCTTTCAGTGTTGTATACATAATGGTCTGCATGGAAGTCAGTATTAAAATATTAAGACAATATCTACTGAAGATTATTAAAAACATGTGCTCTGTACAAAATAAATGCATTGATGTATTAACCTGAATGGTATACAATAGCCAGAGTTGGGAACATATCTAGTGAGAATGTTTTTTTAATAACCACTCTGCTTTGTTGTTTTTGTAAGTACGACCAATCATGCAGGTGTTTCTGCTAAAAGTACGAGTGACATACCATGTGTCTGTACTATTGCAGGCATAAATATACTTCAGGAAGAAACCTTACCACAACGAGTGCCAGTTACACACTTATGTAACAAAAGATTCGGATAGGATAAAAACTCACACTTACCTGCACTGCTTGATTCTTAAGTACCATCTTTATGAATCCATAGAATAGACTATGTGCTTAAAGTTAATTGCACATTATGTGTAGTGACATTGCGGATGTCACTGTGTAATGCCGGCCCTGGAGAGGCACGGCGTACGATGTACTCACATCGCGGACACCCCGTATATGTGGGTGTAGTACCGGCCCTAGAAAGGCTCAGTGAGCGAGCGCTGAGACATAGCACTGAGTGGCACCACGCTCGGCGTGCAGTGACGACCCCTACAGGATGGGGTGTGAGTGTGTCAGCCATGGAATGGGGTTAGGCCATGGCACTCTGGTTGACCCCGGAGGACACGTGACTGGTAAAGTCTACACAGGGGCCCCAAGTGGGGGCTAGGAGTGGTCACGTGTCGGGGCGAGATCCTGCTGGAGGATTCGAGAAAGTGGTCGTGGCCAAGGGCGGAGCCAGCCACGACCAGTGAGGACATAAGCCGGGTCCCCAGAGGGGCCGGGGTTCAGCGTTGCCGTTGTCATCTGAAGATCTACGTTCGACGTCCGTGTCGAGTCCCCAACACGTGGACCTGGACCCAAGCTGGAGTCCTGTCCGTTGTAGCTACTCCCAGTGTACGTGTAGTTAATTTTACATTCTTTACATAGCCTAAATGTGATCTTAAATTCAAGACTGAATACTATGAATAATCAAGTGTGGGATATAGGTTAAAGTCAACATCTAACAATAATACTCTTAAAAAAATTTTTTTTAAGCAAAATCAAATGTGTGCAGGCAATCCATCCTCACTGCAATAAGTAGGTCTGCTTCCCAAGCCCTGCTCCATGAAATGCCGAATCTACTTCATCATATACACAAGTCACCGCTATTTTTACAATTCCAAGAAGGAACTAAACCTCGCCAGTGAATGCATGTAATGATTTGCCCCCCATCAGTGCAATCAGATTCAGGATGAAAGTATTTTATTGCAATTGTGATAAATGTAGTGCCCTCTTGGCTGCAAGAAGCATGTAAACCAGTTACACGCAGTAAATAAGAAACTAAAATAATTAATTTCACATTTACCTTGAATGCAAAACATATAAATAATCAATGGATACGTTGTTATGTGTCTACTAGACACTGTTAACAGACGGTCTCTTTTTGCGCACCTGGTAATTTTATCGTTACGAAGCACAGTCGCCAGGATGCAGGCAGAAAGTGGGGGCATGTTGGACAACGTCTCCAGGAGCACGGGGGTGCTCTCCGCCATGTTCTGAAGTACAACACACAACGTGAGCTGCTCAACACTGTTTGGGAATCCGTATGCCTTGGAGATCACCAGTCTCACCCTGTGCACATCTGCAGTATGCTCACCTGTCGAACGATCATTTAAAAACCTCATGCCACAGCGAGAAAGAAACAATGTCAAGGTACATAAGCACCTGCATTCTTCTAAAGTTTACGCTCACACTCAGACCGTAAATATAGTAAGCAGCATATTGGTGTATCCCCACATGTACACAAAGTCATACAGTGTATGGCTAGCATTACCTGAATTGATTATCTTTAGCTGTTTGCATTAAACATCTCAAGTGATTGTCCATTAAAACTGTACTACCTGAAATTGAAAACTAAGAGAAATTCGACTTATGGTCTTTAATATAGCCATCCACTATAATGGATTTTTTAAAATCAAATTCTTCCAAGACATCAACAGTACCAAACTTTCAGCTAATGATAAAATTTGTGAGCATTACCAATCAGCTGTTCTCAACAATAATTTGCAGCGAGCCACAGCGCCTGACTAAAGCGGCACTCTGCTCATCGCACGTATTAGGTATACGCACACTCCAGAGGTGGGACAAAGTCATTGTTATGCAAGTCCAAGTCGAGTCTGAAGTCATCAAATTCATGACTCGAGTCTGACTCGAGTCCAAGTCACATGACTCGAGTCCACACCTCTGGCACACTCCTATACCTAATAGAAATCAGCGACAAAGTCCATAAACACAATCTCTCAGTCCGCCACTCTTCCTAAGGAGCAACTCCAGCCTTTCATCCCTCATACCTTTTGTATGATGTTCTTAGTTTCAGCAACCACAGCGAACATTGTGATTGAGACAATATCATGGAAGAGGCTCTCTTGGAAGGCTCTCCACTGACATACGGTGGCCAATAATCCTGCAAGTGCAGGACCAAGCTCCAGCAGCACCTGTAACACCAACACATCCCCATGTGGGTAAGGGTGGTAAACTGGACAACCGACTTGAATACTATGCATACCACTAGTTTTTTATTTATTCAGGGAAGTACTGAGACCCATGTCATGAGGGTACTGCTTTAAGCTATACTCTTAGTTCTTTAAGCTGCTACACCAATTCTTCATTTAACGACACATTTATATATTTATGCAATCTAACCCCAAAAACCTATATTATGGTCTTCATTGGTAATATATACATGTGAAGGGAAACCACAGAACTGAAAAACAATCCCACTCATTAGAGAATAACGATTTAAAAAATCTGGACAAATAGGCCAGCAGCCTATTTGCATTTACTAGCCACCTAGTAGCCTCTCATGCACTCAATGATTTCGAAATGAACCAACTCTTCCCTCCAAAATTCTGAATTACAAGTGTGTTCCACTAGTCTTAGCTCAACGAGTAACAGATGGAGACTCAGCCATACTCCTGGAGGCAAGACATTTATTAATACCAACACACTAACACAAAGGGGTAAATGCCCCTTCACCAGATAACAACCTATGGTGGTGGTCCACCAGGCTAACTACAATAACTGCACTGGCAGTAGCTACGATGGACGGGACCCCAGCTTGGGTCCAAGTCCCCGTGTTGGTGACTTGTCTTTGGACGTAGGGCGTAGAACGTAGAGTCTTCAGGATAACAACAGCAGCCGGTCCCACTGGGGGCACGGTTTATATCCTGTGTGGCGGGGCTCACTCCGCCCCTAGCCACGACCACCTTCTCGAATCCTCGAGGAGCATCTCCAACTAGACACGTGATCCCCCCAGCCGCCCTTTGGGGGTCCCCGGGTAGGCACCTCCGGTCACGTGTCCTCCGGGGTCAACCAGAGTGCCATAGCCCCTTTGCAACCCCGTTCCGTGGCCGGCACCCTCGCACCCTATCCTCTAGGGGCTGGCACTGCACGCAGCGCGTGGTACCATCCGTCGCTGTCAATTAGCGCTCACCGAGCCCCGCTTAGGGCCGGTACTGCATCCATATTCCAGTGGTGTCAGCGATGTCATTACATCGCACGCCGTGCCTCTCACTGCCCAGCTTCACACAGTGACATCCCGCGATGTCACTAAACAGATATGAATTGCCTTCCACATCCCTTCGCAACTCAAATGAACACTGTACTAACAAGAGTGTCACCTCCTACACAACACTTGCTATTCCATTCCCATTTTTTTCCCAATATATACACATATACAAAGACATAGATCCCCCGAATAACTTTAACAGACTGTTGGGGCAAGTGCTATTAGCGAGCACACTAGGCCGCCTGTCTCCCTCGTGGCGATGTTTACACAATGCACTAGGTACCCATTGGAGGCTGAGTCGACCTAGGGGAGGCCCAAAACCGGTTCAAATAATTACCACTGGTGTTGGTCGTGGGCAGGAATCGAATTTTGGGTCGCCGGGTTTGTAGCGCAGCACACTAACCGCTAAACTACCACTCCCTACATACACATATATACCACACACAGCACATACATCCACAGATAATACGCATCATTAGCAAACAGCCAGAAATGTTAATCGAGAGATTAAAAACTACATTGACCCTGTGGTTAAGGGGGGTACCTGTTGCGCGACATCCGCCTGCTTGCGGGTACAGCGGCCCATCATTTGCAGGAGCTTTTGGAACACGGTCGGAGCAACCTGCACGAGTTCTCTGAGCTTCTCCTGCGAGGCGGCGATGGCGCTACGTGCGGCAGCATCAACGACAGGTTCTGCCCTGCTCCGGGCACGTGTCACTCTGGCCTTTGCGTTCTTGCCGACGGCGCTCGCTCCGGGCACCTCGGTCGCGTCCTCGTGGTCCTGGCACAGGCAGTGCCTCAGCACGCTCTGCAGAAGTTGCAAACCCAGTGGCAGGCACTGCACTCCTTTATCTGAGAGCAATCGTGGGAATTAAACAGTTGTGTTCATTATTGTTGTGTTCAAGGTGTACAAGGAACTGTTCGAAAGATGAATTAATGAAAACAGAATCACTTCATGAAAGCACAATCAGAAGCCTGTTCAAGACTCAGAAGTAAGTTATCAAGTTGCTGCTTCAGTGAACTTTTCTGAAGAAGGCCATTCGGCCACAACGTCAAGATTATCATTAAAAAGGGTTCATTTTAATTAATGTGTCACGTTTTGACTTCAGAAGCAATTTTATTATATCTTAAAGAGCCATTCTCTGATACAGGGTCGTCCACTCCTCGCTAAATATTCAAAGTGAATATGTATTAGTCTCATTACATGATGCCAATGGCACATAACTATGAAAATGGGTGCCAGAAAATAAGTGCAGATGTATGGTGTTCAGAGAATAAAAACTATAAATGATAAAACAATAAAGGCACTGTTGCAATATACTTTTTCGGTGCCTCATGATGTATAATTTACGAAAGGAGTGAACTGTGTGCTATACAATATTATTGAGCTCTCTTGCCTGTTTCCACCACACTGATGGTGAATTCCAGGCAATGTCCAATAAAGTCAGGGTCTGCAAGCCCCACAAGCACTATGTCCTTACAGGCCTTCAGATACACCTGTGAAAGACAACATCAGGATTCAGTGGTCAAAGCTTGAAAGAGTAGAGGTTGGAGGTTGGAATGGGCACGGGGCAAATGTCGTACGATGCTGCTGAAATTATTTTACGGCGATACAGTAGACAAAACACTTAGCATGCAGGACACAGCATTCATGCGGCATGTAATTCTCAGGAAACTTGACTCATTATTGCCAACACACGAGTTGCTTACAGAAACATGCTTTCTTTGATGTCTGGCTCATTAGGCACACACTGGTGTCAACAATGCATAGTTTATTTATTCAGTATATGTTCCTGTGTTATTCATGTTGAATGCTGTGGCTGTGAAGTGTGCTCATGAGTCAAACACTGCCACTTCGCTGCACAAGTCACTTGCCATGGGTGTATATATACGTGTGTAGGTATGTACACTTCATATGGGGAGTGCAAGTGCAGGGGATAGCTCATTGCGCTAACATTTTTACAATCCAGGTTTGATTTGTGGGTATGCAGAGAAGTGGCAAGGACCGGGCATTGCTTATGTAACACAGTCAGATATGAGCATCTATGCAATTTTTTGATCTGGTAAGACAAAGGTGATAGGGCATTGGACTGTCCCCACCACTTTCTCATGTTCTACACAATAGGGGCCTAAATTGGTGCTAACTAATATCATTTATCCAATGCAACCAAGCTAAACAAATATCAAAACCGATGCACTTCTTAAATACAAAAATTAGTGGAATTCATTACGCATTGCGATCTTGTCCACATCCTGCAATAAACGGCAATGCATAGCTGCTGAAAGTGCCTGTCTGGGCAGCTCACGGATATAGCAGGCATTCATTTAATAAACAACAAACGTACTTTATTGTGTGCACATGAGACAACAAATTTTTTTTTATGTTTACACGGTATGTGGATATATATATATGTCCTTGGGTTTAATTTTTTTTGCCAAACTGTGTAAGTGTAACAATGTATATGAAATTAAGCATAAAATTCTATACACAAACAGCCATGCAATGTTTACAAAAATAACCCTTCAATCAATGATTGTTTTGTAAAAACCACTGATGGCCTGATATGCAACTAGTCACCAAGAAATGTAATCTCCATATGTAATTGTTTTAAATCCATAACACTCACACACAATTTTATGCACTGCTTAATGATGCATAAAAAAAGATGCAGAAATTGAGATATATAATTAATTGGAGCTGAACAGGCCCTGAGACAGCAAAGCCAACACAAAAAGCTATCATCTGGCAGTGGCTTGAACATGGCAGTTGGTGATAAATGTAATTCCGACAGAAGCGACTCCAAAAGAAACTGAATGACTTGTAACCAAAAAGAACAATGAAACTACAGATTCTCATTAAGCATTCCTCACTGTTGCAATGTCGAGCGCGAAGCTCGCTTGAGCCTCAGCCTTGTTGCTAGCAGTGTCGTGTGGAGCCTGGAGTGCGCACAGCACGTACTGCACCACCCAGCTGCTTGTGCTCTCAAAGGAGGCCTGAATCGCGCGGCCTTCTCCATTGTGCTGCCAAATACAAACAAACATATGTACACACTATAATAGAGGTTTTTGGGTTACACACTGCTTACACACACACAATACATAAGTACACAGCCATACTAGTTATTGCTCGCAAAATCCCTGTCATTGAACTGGGTGCTGTGTCGCACTGGCCATCATCATCATTTCATCACTCTAAACAATATGATACCCATGACTTGACAACACCAAAGCAGGGCAGGCAAGTACCTGCATTTATCGTGTCCATCATATCATGGGTTGCATTACGAGATAGGTATTACCATTCAATGTAATTACTTAAAATTACCTGGTCATTCAGTAAATGCAATGCTTTTGAATTACCTACATTACAATACTGTGGAAGTACTGCTTATACATTGACTTATATTGAAGTTATTGTGCAGTATGGCAATATAATTATTACTCCGCTAAAATAGGCCACAGCAATCAGGGCATTTATTTATATATTAAGATTCATTTAAATGGTTGATGAATACAATTTTTAAGTGGTATCCCACATTGACGCTGCTTTGATAAATGAAGACATGCACCATGGGCTGGAATTGGGATCGCCTATTTGTCCCAGGCTCTTCTCCACAGGGATGCTGACCTTATGGTGAATGAGGATCTGTAGTAGACAGTGCAGCCGGAATACACGTAAGGCCGTCGCACTCGCAGTGTCCACGCCGATCGTCTTCGGGTTTTTAAGGAAGGCTCGCAGAGTGTCCTGTATAAGAGTGCAGGGAGAGATTATCAGCAAATTAAACCACTTGCTCGCTCTTTGTACTTATAAGCGTCGCAAAGCTTTGCCGTCTCTCTGTTGCCTTTCAGTGCTTAAATAGAGGTGACATGGCCAAGCAGTAGCGCATTTGCCGCTTTTTTCAGAGGTTAGTGATTTGTGACTGCCATGTTCAATACTGCGGGTGTATGCACTGTTTACTCCGCAGTGAATGTTAAAGATCCCATGGCATAATTCAAAATAGCAGCCATATAAGCCTGCATCTTGGTACAAATAAAAAAACTACACCTAAATTACTTGTGGTAAAACACAGCACTATCATTCCCTCTTGGCAAACTATGTCAGTCTGTGAAACAAAGTGCCTTCATGATAGTCTTGCACCATAAGAATGGCACAAATACCAAATGTTGTAAATTGTTATATAAATCAAAAGCAGACATTCACAGAAATACAACCCCATTCCGTTGTACTACCCCATTTATTTGTGCGAATGTTCGAGTCACGTAAGCACCTTTGAGGTGGCCAGTAGCTCAGTGAGAGCATTCAGCTTGTGACCAGAATCCAGCACAGAAGCGCAGCACACAGGTGAGCGGAGCATGTACTCTGTGTACTGCAGTGCCAGGTCGGGCTTTGGCAACATGGGTACACTTATCCGCACTCGGTTGACTCTTGTCTGATGGGTGACAGTTGCAGATAGGAACAGGTCAAGTTCGGACAATGAAACATTTCAGTGCGAGTCTAAATCCCACAAGCAATTTTTACACCCGCGAATTTTGTTAGAAAGATTCGTGATTGAAGCAGTAATAGTTGAAACATAAGCAGCACTATTTGCGATGGTCATACTCATAAATAAGAACACTGATGGAAAGAGGTGGTATAATTTTTCATTGAGCAATAATAATATATTTTATATAAGTACTCATGGCTCTGTATAGTTCCTTGGTCTTTGCGTTCCGATTGGCTGCCGTCAACTCACTGCTCAGCGCCTTTTGATTAGCTAATGGCCACGGGCATTTGTGCGGAGAGGGGGCTAAGTAGGAGGGGAGGGCTGCGGCGAGGGGGGGTGCTGGGGATTGTCCCACGCAAGGGGGGACACCCAGTGGTGGAGAGGTGGGGGGATATTGGGGGTGGGGGGGGACCATCCTTGAAAGACGGGTACATACACTATTTAGTCAATGAAATAGTATCTGTAAATGCTAATGGTAAAAATATTGAAATAAAAAGTCGTTGAAAATAATCATGACAAATATTTATTGTTAAGTAATGTCAATTGAAAGGTTATTCTATCTTTGCCCCCTTGTTATCTCTCAGACTAACCTGTGGAGATTTTTGGCCCAGATTGGCAGACAGCCATTCTGTAATGAGCTCCAAAATGTGACCCGCCTGGCCCCAGCAGCACATGCAGTCCAGCAACGGTGTGAAATCTATGTCATCCACACCCAGTTCAAAGGCACGTAGCCGTGACAACACGCTGCCACTGCCACCGCCACCAACCACACAGGCAAAAAAACGATAGATCAGCGATTGATGGAACCGTGAGCATACACAAAGCTTGAAACTGGTGAGGTATTCTGTGAGAAGTAACTGGAAAAAAAGTATTAAAGTATTTCACCAGCCCTCACCTGAAAGTAGGGATGGTGTTGGGAGGCATGTAGGAAGCAAGAATGACCAGTGCCTGGTAACAGCGCTCGTTCTATTTTATGGAAGAAAACAGTGTAGCAGCCAAGTTGTTCAACCCACGAGACATGCAAGATTTTTGACACTGAAGTACTCGAAGGCAACACACAGTGTCATTCTGATGAAAGGATATGTATATGTACATATGTAAATGAAAAAAAACTTATATATATACTCGGTAAATATAAAAACGTAACCATGTTCTATCCCTTTAAGCCTACTTGACAAAGCAGACATCTGAATGAGGACTGGCATGCTCAATTATAATTACAATTTGTATTCAAAGATGTCGCCCAGCATAATCACCTTGAACGTTCTGAAGTAACCGGGCACCACGTCGGAAAACTTAATCACGAGCTGCTGATACACGCGCGGGTTTCCCAGTAACACTTCGCGAATGCTGCTCCACAGGATGACCACCACCTCTAGCAAGCTGCCCACTGTCGTCAGGTCCTTGGCGAGAGGTACGTCCTCATCATCATCATCTTCCTGCTGGAAGGCACATGCTCGAGGGTTCAGCATGCGACGCTCACGTGCAGACTGTGCTGATGCAGGTGTTGATGCACAATTCCCACATTACCTGAACACTTACAGCACTAAAGCCGAGTGAGCCACGTGACAACAGTGTGGTAATATGACAGAATTAACAGGTGAACACAATAATTTGGCTTACAAATTACAATTCAGGAAGGACTAGTAGGAGTGTAAGGATGAATGAAATGATCAACTAAAATTGATTATTACTCTCTGATATGCATGCAATTATTAGTTTGCGTGAGAATCAATATATTTGCATGAAATCGGTTCATGCGACCTATGCAGCTACAAAACGTACTATAATTTCCACAATAGGACTATTTTTCCACAATTACCTCGAATTATGACTAATTTAATCGTTATAAGTCTTCCAAGGACATATCAGCACTTATCTTACACTCTCATTTTCTTTCTCATCTCCCTCGGCTTCTTTCTCTTCATTCTGGCGTTTGTGTTTTGGCAGACACGTGTTCAGGCAGTGATACAGCTGCAAAATCAGTTTGGCTGCGGGAGGATGCACACACAAGCAAATCATGAACTGCACTGCCACTGCAGATAATTACATTAAAAATCCCTACTTAAATTTCAACTCACTTTAGGACCACATCAAATATACAGAACTTTACTTCACCACTAGTTTACTCAAAAGGCCGTCAACATCAATCATCACATTTCCATTACAGCTCTCATACTTAACATGCCTTCAGGAGCACACACTGCAGCCGACTGAGATGACAGGGTCAGGGAAGCCAACAGCCAGCAGCATCAATGAGCAAAAACTCGATGCTCCATGGGTAATAATTTTGTAACAAATCACATAGAGATTGAATGCTCATAAGAACTGAGGGAAACACATTTGGACAACCTGGATCTAAGTGAAGTGAGGAACTCAGTAGCACCTGCTTAAAAATTATATTACAGTATTTTACTTTTACAATCGAGTAATTGCAAATTATTGGTATATAATGTTTTTTATTTTAGCAATTCATGTACAGTGGACGATAGTGCAAATACATCAGACCTTACCGATATTCGTCGGCGACACGAACTTGTGTAAGTGTTGATAGAAACAGCGGGTGGCAGTGGGGTTCATCTGCACAAGGGTGATGCAGCGCTCACGCCACGTCTCCTCGGGCTGCTCAACCGGCAGGAAGGAGCTGGCCAGAAGCTGCACCAGCCGGCGCGTCACTACGGGGCTGTCCATCGCCAGACGCGCCAACAGGTGCTCCATCGGACAGATCTTCCAGTACTGCGGGTCACAGAAAGGTTAATGGGGCAAACGGGATGGAAATTTAACAAGAAGAAAATGAGGTAAAGCGAGACCTGCTACCCCCCCCCCCCCCCCGTTGAATTACGTAACTCATCTCCCAGAATGCTTTACACTAACATTTAAGCATACTTATTATATAAGTAGACTCATTATTTTGTTCTTTTTTTTATCATGACTTGTATTCCTACTTAAAATGTATGCTGCTAGACAATTTTATCCAAAAGGGTTAATGGAACAAAAATGTTACGTGGATAGACAGACTGTTGTCTATTTATTAGCTATAATCCTTCTAGAGGCGGAGCCATGGTGCTATCGCGCGCTGCGCTATGAACCCAATGGACTGATTTAGATTTTTGACAATGGCTAACACCCATAGTGAGTGATATCTGAATTGGTTCTGGCCACTCACCAGTGTGGTCCAAACCATAAAAAGTAATATTTGTACTATGATTATAATTCTCCGAACTGGAAATAATCATTATATTTTTGTCACGATGGTTTGATGTATTGTTTCGTGAATATTATTGTGGATGAAAAAAAGTTATGATAATCGTAATGTCCCTAATACATGCTAAAAGCTAGATATGACAATAATGTCTGCATTGAAAGTTGAATGGACTTTTCACACTTTAGTCACTTTAATTACCACTTGAAAAAACCTTTTCCTCTTAACTATTTCACAATGGACCCAGGACACATTAAAATTACAAATGTGAAATGGATAAATTGGGGAACAATTTAATTACTTTTAGCATTATTTCATCAAGTTTATCTTTATCACAGTAACTTGAAATAAAATTGCATCATATCGAACAAAATGGGTTTAATAATTAAGTGAAAGAGAGCTATTTGTTCTTAGTAACCAGTCTGCTTGCCAGTGTGGATGGAATATTTATTCACAAAAGATAACAAGCATTCTAGATTTGAAGTTTTCGTGACTGGAAGGATTCATACTCTTTGGTTTTTTCGGTAAAGTCACGTAGGTAAAAAATTTATATTAATTAAATCACGACGTTTCGGGCGCAACACAAGCATCCTTCTTCAGGTGGGGATCACTTAGCAAAAGCACACCGCTTAAGTGTGTGCTTTCATTTATTTGAATTTTTTACCTACGCGACTTTACCGAAAAAAACAAAGAGTATGATAACAAGCAACAAGGTTTTCGTCGGTATACTTGCAAAGGCAGCTAATGGATACGAGTAGCAGCACTACAGAGGTTGATAAAAGTGAAAATGCATGAGGAAACTGCATTATACCTTAGCCGCTCGCACAGCCTTGACCTTAAGCAGCATGTCGACAAAAGCCACACGCACCCTCTCAGTTACATCGTGTAGCCCATTCCTGGCTTCTGGAAGGAGCTTCTCCATTAACGGGTGACTCAATTTGTTGTCGAGAACAATTGGCAGGGACTGTGAAAGAGAACACCATGCACCCACAAACATAAAATCATGACTGACGAAACAATTGCTATTTGCAGACATAAAAACTCACAACATGAATCAGTGAAGAGGTAAGCACTACATTTGGCTGACTGTCTCTCGGCTGTCACTATTATGAGTAATTCTTGACACAGACCACATAAGATTCCAACTGCTATTCATATACGCGTATAGGTATCACACCGTGTTCACTAGCATAGCGTGATGAGTACATGACTCATCCCCGAAACACATGTGCATACACCCATATAGGCAATCTCACACACACAAGCACAAATTAAGTCATAAACACACAAGAAATTTGAATTTAGGGATCTATCCTGCTTTGTATGGTGACACAAACAAGGCCTTCATGGCCTTAAATGTCTGAAATAATGCTGGTAAATCTTGAGGTATGTGTAGAGGCTGGTGATATTTGGGGTACCTGTACCTCTGACTCAAGCGTGGCACATATCACATGCACATTATTTACTTGGCCAGTATGCTTAAGACCAAGTGGCCGAGGAAAATGTAATGCGCTTTCTGTCAAAGGCAGTTCTTTAACATTAAACACAGGATAACACTTACAAAAAAAGAATCTGAATTCAATGTCTTAGTTTTGTCACCCTAAGCTTGTTACATGTTTACAAGGTTGTAAATAGGATATGTTACCTTTGTGTACACATTACGATTTTTTTTTTTTAATGTGGTTACCATCACCAGCAAATAACTAAACACTCTTGCTAAGGAGTTCCTGGGTTATTTGAGCATGGAGACTTGACAGGCATGGTTAGTATTCCCTGCAGACCACTGGAAAGAAATGTTACTGTGACAAAACTGCAGCTGTTGTGATTACATAATAGACTGTGCTTGTCTAATTAACAATTATAAAACCACACAACTGAACAATTTTATTTTTGCATGGAATATGCTACAGCTAAGACCATTATCTGCCACAACCCTCAAAAATCAAGGTGACAATATTCCTTTCAGTCACACAAGTAACAATAATCCGCACCATGCAAATATAATGCCAATGTATAAGGACATTTATATACATTATGTAAAAAATACATTGCAAAATTGGTTAAACATTGGAACCTCACTGAGAACATATATTTTCTAAGGGAGATTTGAGGAAATATAAATGTATTATTTATTCATAATAAATTTTGAGTAGGACTCACAATTGGGGATATGGGCAAAGACAGGGTCCCACAATGATCTTATTGCAAATGAGGTTGTAAAATATTTAGGATGCACTCTTTATCAGATGCCATTGTTTTGCTAATTCCATGCAGAAATTCCTGGGCTACAATAGGAATGAAACTGTCTACTGCTTGTACAGAGGGTCCAGTGGACGAGCACAGTGTTTTTATGCTGTCCCTGTTACCATAGTAAAATGAATGTCCACACTTACGACACAAGTGCACAGAGATTTGTGGGACTCCAAAACCTGCTGGGTTGTGAGATATCCAAGATAGCAGAACAAAATAAATGATTAACCATCTGTGTAAAGCTTTGAGTGTTATCCCTTCATACGTGTAGGTTTTCCTTGGGTACGCTGGTGAAAAACACTCATTAATCCTGAGATTCAGTGAGGCTTTACTAGACAAATACATAACATTCTTTCCTGGATAAAAAAAACGACTAACCAGTCAGATCATCACCTTCCTTAAACAATGTATATGGTGGTGGTAGTGATGATGACAATCATGATGGAGATGGGGACCTTGTAGACGGCACAGCGCACATCAGCCGAGGAGGCATCGAATGCGAGGCTGGAGACAAGCTTTGTGAGTAGCTCGGAGAGCGGGCGTCCGGGGATCATCTCCCAGTAGCGCGAGGTTAGGCGGCACACTCCTAGCACCGCGCTCGAGCGCACTCGAGGGCACGGGTCATCCAACACACGCTGCGTGTGTACGCACGCACAAGCAAACACAAGGGGTTTGGTGAGAGAAAAATATACAGTACGTACAATCACACTGCATAACCTATAGTTCAGTCTGTTCAATTTATATGGTACAAGATCATGGTCAGACATTCGCTGCTACTTTACAGTCATCGAACATTACCGTCTTCTCTGCAATACAGCATTAACATACTGAATTCGACAACAACATTTTTCTCATTCCAACATAATATTAGGCAGGCTATCGGGGAATCTGTGCTTCATATTAAAGGTTTGCATGTTCAAGGGCCCATCGCTACTAATTTAGTGTTGTGCTATAGCATATTGTGAGCAAATACAAGTACCAATCAAACAGCTTGCTCTTGGAGAAGACATTAACTCTACTGACCAGATGATCTGTATGCAGCAATTAATATTACCTAAATATTGCTGGTAATGCAGCTCAGTGTGTCAGGATCCTAGTCAGATAAATCACTTGTAATTAATATCAATGCAATGAAAATGGCAACTGCTTGCCAACAAGCGTATTCAGCTTGATTAAACTACCGTGTGCTTATTAGTGGGTATGTATTTATGTGGCCATACTCAAAAGTGTTGCATTGCAGTAAAGAGTACAGTCCATTGCAAGACTGCTTTAATATACAGTACTATTTAATAACATGTACAGACAGTACATATATACATTCGCATACATGAACGTTATTAAGTTCAATTGTACCGTCATGCAATGTGCATAGAATAGTTATGAAAAAACATGCATTACTTTATATATTAATAGGTTTTAATTTAGTGTAAAATCAGATTCTTCTGGTCTAAATAAATATTCTGAAAATATAAATAATATAATAACGACAAATATTTATTTTGGACTTATTCTTCACCTAAAACAATTAACTCAGCAAAATTCTGTAGCTTGCTCATTATCTGTCACTGTCGGCAATGATGGATGTGTATTGCAAACGAATGGCTTAGAAATCCGATTGCCAATGTTGAGACACTCGGCCATCTCCTCTGAGATTCTGAGTTCAAGGCCCAGGTTACTGCTCGTGGTTAACTGGCTCACATGTACGGCAAATCTAACTGTGTCAGTCAAAGTCCCTTTCGTAGAAGAAAAAAAATCACCTATCGGGTGAGAGCCCACATATTCATCTGCCCGGCTCTACTACTTCATCAATGGGTAAGAGACAGGTAAAAGTGGCCAAGAGCTAGCCAATGCCTTCCTGAGGCTGTTCCTTGTTGAGACTATCAACCCCAGTGTGTGCAAAGGCTAATGAATGGAGCTGCTCTCACGATCTACATGGCACTGCTAGCACAATATATAGTGGTAAATATCCCCAACTCTACCAACAACAAAAAAGCATTGATCGATGCACATGACACTCACAAAGAGCTCCTCAAACTGCCTCTGCAGATTCGCATCTGCCTCCTCCCTCCAAATGCAGGGTCCTGCAGTGGGAAAGCGTCCGTGAACAGCAGGGTGGCGTTGGCCCGTATCTCGCTATTGCTGGCCTGAAACAAAGGCAAACACCCTCAGCATGAGCACTACATGGGGAGAATAT